TGTTTCAGCGGCAGGATGTGCCTGTCTGAGCGTCACACGTAGGAGCCTGGGATTATGGGGCATTAAGGGGGCGCAGAAAATAAAATAAATATATCGAAAAGTCAGGAAATAGTAGAGCAAATCATTGTAAAAAGCTAATATGCAGCAACGGCGGGACGTGCGATAATCGAAAAATAAATTAAAAATATGATATAATAAAAAATTAAAATGAATAAAGTAATAAATTAAAGGTAATAATAATGAAATCATCCCTACCATCGGTCCCGTATTACAGAAGTCTGGGGGGTTGGTTTGCGTAGTGAAGCCTATATTAGACGGTTACCATCTGTATTATCGTCACGAACAAGACGCTCCGAACTTCGCGAACTCCGCCCTTAATCCAAATCGGATGCAGAAAAACTCTCCCCACTAGACAGATCTTGTCAAACATGCCTCAGAGCGCGGAGCCGATTTAAACTTTGTTGCCCCCGGCGTGGAACGGACGCCAGGTAAGCCTTATTTGATATAGTCCAGTTATGTGAGATCCTACGTAGTGGTGCCTGGGAATCAGTGACTCGTTGGGATGGATGGAAGGGAATATTATGGGGTCCCGAGGAATGTCTTTGGCTCTTAACGCATTTCAGTTTACAGAAATAGTTGTGAAAATTCGATTTCTAGGCGGTAAGTCAGAAGGAGAAAGAGCGATGAACACATTTCAGTTTTTTAATTTCCTCAGAAATTAATTTCTGACCCGAGGTAAATTAGTATATTCAAGGGCATACAGGGCCGGACCGAAGCCCATCAACCACTGCGGGATAGCCACGAAATGTTAGCAAGCTGCCAACAGGCGGTCAGCTGTGCAACTTAATTATTTACCCTACTGGCAGCACAGGTACTAGCTATCTCGATCTGCTACTGAGTCGTGGGTCTGTAGAATTCAGTTGATCACAAGCAGGGGAATGCCGATATTTTGGCAAACACGGTGATCGTCGGTTGCTCTCCACATGATCTTAGTAAACATCTTCACGTGTGAGATGGTGAAATCTGGTCTGCTTCTTACGCGCCAAGAGCCAACGGGCTTCGGTATTCGCTTACTACGCTCGGTTAACAATCTGTTAGGAAGCTGAAACTGCACGAACACCAAGGCCGACGAGGTGAGCGACTTTTAGGACCAGCACAGCTGCCTAGTAAGACCGTTAACATGTGAACGAGAGAGAGAGAGAGAAGGATACTCTTCAGCCATAGCTCGTTTGTTTGGCTCCTTCCTCTCCCCGGCAGGACAGAGGAATGCGAACGCTGCGTAATACAGGCGAATCGGCGTTACATTCCATAGAAATTAAGGCTAAGCTTAGGGCTGAGATTGGGGTACTGAAATGGGTATCCATCCTGAAATTTAACCCCATGACAGATGTATTACGGCGGGAGGGTGTTCCTATTCCCCTTCCTGCGGAGAGGGGACCGATGAAGTTTTTTTCGAACCGAAAAAGGATGTTGGCGCTCCCTTACCAAGAACTTATTAAGTTTGACCAAGTTATTTATCGGCGACTACTAGTAGTCGGTATTTCATCTAAAACGGTTTCCGTCGTGCTTCCTCCATTCACAATTTCGTGTTCGCCCTCCATAACTTATTGCCCAATGTGATATTTGGGGGGGGGGAGGGGTAATGCAGTGTTTTGGCGGTTAGCGCGCGAAAAAGTTTCTTAATTCATTTAAATTTGCGAAAATTCCCATCGAAGATGAAGAAGAAGATGAATTGGCGAACATACGTTTGTTTTCGATAATTCTCGTCAGGCCTTTACATTTATA